GGCCTACAAGAAAGATCAAATGAAGAACAGAATAGAGGCATGGGAAAACAAAGCACTACATGGCCAATACATTAAAAAAATAGCTGGGAAAGCAGATAATAACAAGCCCTTGCAATGGCTAAGAGCAGAAAAATTGAAGAAAGAGACCGAGGGACTAATTCTGGCTGCACAAGACCAAGCCTTAAGGACAAAAGCATATAAAGTCAAAATTGAGAAGACGGCAACAGACAGTAAGTGCCACCTATGCAAAGAAGCTGAAGAAACAGTGGACCACCTAGTAAACTGCTGCAAGAATATTGCACAGACTGACTACAAGCAGCGGCATGACAAAGTAGCAACAATGGTGCATTGGAAGATCTGCAAAAAATATCATTTGCCTGTAAGCAAAAACTGGTGGGATCATAAAATAGAGAAAGTCATAGAAAATGATAAAATTAAACTGCTCTGGGACTTCAGAATTCAAACAGACAAGCACCTGCAACATAACACCCCAGACTTAACAATTGTCGATAAGAAAGACAAAAAAGTCTGGATAGTGGAGGTGGCAGTGCCTGGAGACAGCAGAATAGAAGAGAAAGAACTGGAGAAGATAACAAAATACAAAGACCTACAAATAGAAATAGAAAGACTGTGGCAAAAGCAAGCAAGGGTAGTACCAATAGTCATAGGCTCCTTTGGTGCAATCCCAAAACAACTGGAGCACCACTTGAACACCATTGGCATTGACAAATTCGCTATTAGTCAATTGCAAAAGGCGGCCTTATTAGGAACTGCTTCCATCCTGCGACGATATCTGTAATACCATCAAACATCCACATCTGCCTATCCCAGGTCCTGGGTAAGGACTCGATAGGTAGACAAAATGCCAAATCCAGTCTGAACATCTGGCTGACTGTGCGATGATCCATAATAATAATAATCCATTTTGGAATTGAATCCAAAGTATTATACATCTTACTGAATAAATTTGAACAAATCATATTTTGGCTTAGTGCTATTTGTAAATCCAACAAATGTGTGCTGGATAGCTACACAGGTGCATGTTGCTATTATGCATATCTGTACACAGCACAGCTGCATAGAAATCCATTTATTTATTAAAGAGCTGCCCAGGAACCACAGGCACAATAAGGCAGTATAATTACCTAGTATTTTATCCATGCAGCTAAAAAAATAACAGGAAAGCATATTTTATACCAGATACATTATTACGTACAACTGTATTTTTATGTTGTACTTCACCTAAAAATGCTGAAAATATGTTTTCTCAAAACACATAGCAGGGAGACAGTCCTTCCCTTAAGCTTAAAATGTAAAATGCATAACACATAACAAAAGAAACTGAGGAAGAGGAGGAGAAAAAAGACATTTCAGTCATGCCTATCTGGGATGAAAACACCTCTATTACCCATGTGATAGGGATGCATGCGAAATAAGAGTTGGTGGAGAGCTAAACTGGCACAGTAGCCATGTTTCTCTTTTCTCCCTTTCCTATGAGTGGTCATGGTTTTCTTGCCCATGCATTTTATATGCATGTAAACTAGAGATAATATGCATAATTGTCCCACTCAAAAGCCTTGTTTCCAGAGACCAAAGGGACTGGAATAAAATTGTAACAATGGGAACTTTAGTGAACATATGTTGCATGCATACATTTTTAGAAAGTATCAAGTTCTACCCAGCAGATGTGATTTGGGGGAAAGATGACTCATGAACAGGTATCCCCCTCTGTTGGGAGATTGCTAGTTTTTAAATATGATAAATAAATATAAATAAGATGCTTGCAAATAAGGATATATGTTTGAAGTATATAAAATTCTCTTTTCTATACAACTAGAAACAGTATTTTCTCTTCTTTGCTCTAAACTACCCTGTTTACTTCCTGCAACTCTCTAAGAATCAGAAGCCAGATATGCTTAACGTAGAGTAATGAATGCCAAATTCCCATCATAAAAAGTGCACGTATTAACATCTGCTAAAATTTGCCTTTAAAACAGTATCTAAAAAAGAAGCCTAGGAGAGTTTATGAAAAATTATTTTTTGCTGGCAATAGGACAGGAAATAATTGGATGTTAAATCAAGAAAATGGGAAAGATGGAACAGCAAATCAAAGCAAGTGGCAGAAAACTAGGTCTTGGTATAGAGAAATATACTTACATCAACTTTTGACAGTTTCAGCAAAGACAAACTATACATAAACTTGCTTTGAATCATTTCAGTACTTTGTTGAATAAAATGCAGGGCTGGGTCCAGAAGATAATGAGGTTGGGCAATTTTTAGCCCCCCCAAACTGGCAAAAGCCTATTATCTCTTTAAATTATCTGCTTGCATGGGTAAAGCTTTTGAGGTTATTTGTTTTTTACAGTTCTAGATGGATTCTGCTGATTGTGAGGTAGGTGAGTCTGCTGTGGCTCCAATGCCAAGAAAATGGGGAAAAGCCATAGTTTATTAGCATGATTTCTCCTGAAAATGTACTTTTCAGGATATTTACCGTAGTAAGTCTGTTTTAATAGAATTTGTGGATAATAAATGGATAAAGAGAAACTAGCACAAGAATGGAGGAAGTTTTATAATGCATTTGTCTGAATGTGGATTAGAAGACATTTTCAAGGTTAACTACGTTTGAGAAGAAAATTGGTCAACCGTTTTACCATTTAGTCTGGCTGGATTTATAGACCAATTGGTATTATCTTTTGTAGATAGACCATTGCAATCATTACATATTGGTGTTTTAAATAATTATCAGCTGCTAGTGGCTGTGGGAGTAAGCTAATTCCTGACTGCAATTCAAGATATTGGTTAAGAACAGCTGCTGCTTGTGTGCATTGTTGCCTTTAGAAGCACAGCTTGCATGACAACACACACAAGGTAGAATATGTAGATATGATTTGCTGCCCCCAAAGGTTTATAATCTTCCAGTATTCAGTTGGAAATGAGAACCTATCCCTATGGTGTTGCTTAATTTTATTTCCGAGTGTTAGTTTAGTTTTATTTGTTTCAGTTGCTTTGTTTAGTATCTCAATATAGTTCATTCTTTTTCTGCATTTACATTGTGCAATCTAATTTGAGTCATTTGCTGGGGAATTGTGGGGTTAATTTTTAAAGCATAGATAAACCACACTTCTAGGCTGCCTTGGAGGATTTAAGTGCTTCATGCATGATTCCATAAATAAATATGTAACTGTCTAACCTTTGCAATATACATCACCTTTCAGAAAGCACTAAGCTACATTTTAAATTTCAAAATCACCTCAGTAGTGCATTGTTCAAGCCCGTCAGTTGTGGTTTCCCTCAACCAGCAGCATTTGTGTGAATATCCAATTGTCCCCTCGAGGAGGGAGTCTGATTTCTAAATGGAGATGCAGCCCTTTCTGTTCAGAGAAGCTGTCTGAAATGATGTTTGGAGGGTGCTTTTCTTTCCATGTTAACCTTTCACTTGTCTCCTCCACGTTGTCAAAGCTTCTGCCTAAAGTCCATTTCTCATCTGTTATTGTGGCAGTAATTGAAAACTGAGTTGCAGGGGGTTAAAGAACAGCTGTAGGGAGATAATTAATGCTCTCTAACATTTTTGTGCAGCCTTTAGCACCTTGCTGTGACACAACCTCTAACATCTGCTCTTGGCAGCTAAGCTGTTAAAAAAAATCTTCCAGAAATCTGCACCCCTCTCTGCCCTTTATCAAGGAGTTGTCACCCATCTAGGGCAAAATGGACAAAATTACTTGGAAAATAGGATAAAATATAAATTTGGAGATGCAGCTGTCAGAATTGCCCTTGAGAACGGTAAACTGGTGCTCATAGAGAGTCTTTCCAAGTTTTTATAGTTCTCCTTAAAATGTAGAAGACTCCAGAAGGACTTCTGGGCATGCTCTGGCCTAAACAGAGAACTTCCATTCATCTTCTGCTGAAACACATTTTGGTTAGTATTGACAGCTGGGGTCTTCCTGTAAACAGAATCACAGCAGAGCAATGTGACTCCTTGCATGTTTGCCTGTTTAGAAGAAAATTCTGTTAGGTTCAGCAGAATTCCCCTTGGAAATATAAATTCTAGCAATAGTGACAGAATCTGGCTCTAGTACCAAATTACATAACCAGTTATCTTGAGAGCCATCAATTGCTACAAGCTCTCTTGTTTATCCCATAAATCCATCATTGCTACAAGCTCTCTTCATTCCAGGAACCTTTTGAAGAAAACTGAAATAAAATAAATTGGGCCAGATTAGACAGTTTTATTAGGTGGATAGAGAGATTGCAAGGTCCATTTTAATATGGACTTGGTGAATGGAAAGCAATTCACTTTTTTCTTGATTTAATTCAGAGACTCACTGGTTTGACTTGGGCTTGCATCTAAAATGTTCTACAGCCTTCTATTAGAAATTAACAATATATGACTTTAGTTAAACATATACCATCAAGCTAGGAGTGATGGAAAATAAATATATCTGGCTTAAATGCAGAGGAAAATTGCTGGCTCCTTGTTATCTTAGCTGCTGGCCTGAAAAATGAGACCTCTACATTAAGTTCTATCAAATCCTGAATAGAATTGGGCCAATTTGCATAAGTATTTGAAATCAGCACAGATTTATTTTTATTTTTTTATTTTTGGTCAGGCAGCTTCTGCATATAGGGGCTATCCCAATCTGGGATCAGTGTCATCCCTTATCCTTATGGAAATTGGAGACATCTTCTGTAGCTGAGAAGCTATTCTAGCTCAGCTGCAGCTCCAGAGAAGATGCTTTGCAGAAGGCCTGCAAGGTTTAGGCATTTTTCCATTGGCTGGAATTCCTATACTAACATTGGAACCCCCCCTACCACCACCACTCCCCATGACATGGACCCTTGCTGCCATTCCATATTTTCTTTAATGGACTGACCTCATTTTTCTTTTTACTGCACAATGGTTGTTGTTTCCTCCTTGTCAACAAAACAAATATAATGAAGCAAGGATGACATGGGTTATTGCACTAACTAGAATGCTGACCATTATGCTCCTCTTTTGGCAGATAGACACTGCACTTGGTTCATCAGCAGCCAAAAACGAAGATCTTCTTAAGATGGTTCAAAGGCCACCTTGTAAGTTGGGAGGCAAAAACTCTGCAAGTGCCCCAAGTCAATGATAGAATGGAATTGGCAAAGTTTGTTCTCTGCATTTAGGGAATGGAACATGGGCCTGCTTTTCATTGTTGATCACATTACTTTTAAGACCTCTTCCTGAGACTAATGGTCCCTGCATAAATTGGGATTACAACTTCTGGAATCCTCAAGCTGCCCTGGAAATCTAAAAGTTGCAGCCTGGGAAATAATGGAAGATACCAAGTTGTGACAAAGACGTTTATCAGAACTTGCTTTATAAAAAGTTCTCAGTGTTTAGGTTAGGTTAATCAAAGTTTGCAAACCCAATCTGTTGCAGCAACCCAAATAACTGGGCTTATATATAGTGCTAAGCCATGTTAAATACATTCTTTACAGGTAGCATTGTGAAAATGAAGTTCTTTGGATACTGTATAAAGTATTATTTAAATACCATACATTATTATCCAAAGGTGTAATTATCCTGCATGTCAACAGACTAGGTAGTTTCAAATGTCAGTATGCTTTAGGAAAGCAGGAGCACACAGAAATGTTGATGCTTCAGGGGGAATAGAATTACAATTTTATAGCTACAAGGGAACACAATTACTTGAAAAAGCTGAGCATGTAGAAGAGGCAATTAGCTACCATCCAGCTGCTCTACATCTGTTTCAGTATTGAGTAAATACACTGGCTCAGATTGCTTCCAAAGTGTTACACTGGAGTTATTTTGCTAAACAGAACCCCATGCCCCCACCTATGCCAATTGCAGCTGGGCATTTTTGAATCTATTTCCCTGCAGGCATGATACCCACTGGGCTTCACTTCAAGGAGAAGAGTCTTTAATCAAGCAGATTCATTGATCCAGAACAGAATCTAAAGAGACTGTCCATTTACAAGGGAAATTTTGTAATTGTACTTTTATAAAATTACAGAGAATGGGGAAAGTTCCACCAAGGAACATGAAAACATTCTGAAATTCCAGTATTAAGTTTGAGATCTATTGTCAAACTGTTTCTTGGACTGCTAATGCCCTACTGGCAAAATGTTAAGGATGCAAATGTCCTCTAATGGTAGTAATTTCCATTGGGGGGGGGGGGTTCTGGGAGGAAGTGAAATTTTAAGATGCTGGGCTTGAGATGAAGATACATAAATATGAAGGTCTATGATGAATGAATAACAGTAAGATGAAGAAGTGAAGTCAAGGATTTTTAGGACTTGCTATTATCAAAATGGTCCATCAAGGAAACTGAGACTCTAAGATATGCTTCAGTCTGCTTGGGAATATACTCACGTGCATGCGTGCAAGAAAAAAAGGTAAGCCTTGTTTCTAAATAATTAATAATAACTAAACTGCACTTTATACATGTGATTTAATCTCATAATAGCATGTGATCTAACATCTCATAATAGGCACATTCACGCATAACATTAAGCTGAAGCGACTGAGTACATGATTTATGGTGTAGCACTACCACTCTGGTCTGTTCACAGCAAATATGAATGCAACCTAAGTGTGTAATTTCAACTTCTTTATATGTGTAGGTATATGTCATAGAAATAGAAAACAAAAGGATCATAATATAAAGTTAGAGCTACAGATTTTATATAGAAATGTGTAAGCATGCATGTATTGATATATGTGAGTTGGTATAAATGTGTATTAATAGAAGGAGAAAGTTTACGGTATAAAATAGGCTCATAAATAGAACAATATTCCAAAAAAATAATTCCTTTGCTATGAATTCATAGCAACTTTTCTTGTATGGCCTATATTCTCATTTCTGTTTTGATGGTATATTCTGGTTATTTGCTTAATTCTTTTTCCCTTTTCAAGATGTATTGACACAAAATTAAAATCTGCATATAGACTGTTGAGCTGAAACAGCTGAAGTGTTCAGGGACAGAGATGATATAATGTACCCTTTATAGGCATGCAGCATAAAATAAAAATATAATTAATCAAGTCATAATACAACTTCATGAAGCTTTTTGCAACTTGAAAGCATTGTTTGGGAAATAGATCAGTTGCAAAGGACAGCTTTCTCTTCCCCCCCACCAAAAAAAAAACACGTTTTGAGAGATGATAGGACATTTGTATATCCCTCAGATGGCGAATTAAAAAAAGGACACATGACAGGTTGATACGTATTTCATAAAGTTTTAAGCTACTTACTGTAATGATTTAAGCAGCCACTGTTACTGAGAATCTGTTAACATATATGTTTATTAAGCTTAATTATTTCCAGACCAATGATCAGTGAATTGGAAGTCCTGCTCTTATATATTTTTGTTCATTCTCCTTAGGGTTTGTTTGTTTGTATATGTATGGACCAAACATGATGCTTGTTAGTCTCATTAATTTGTTTCACTGTGGTAGCTGGACATAGATACTGCGCTGAATGTGAATTATGGCTAGTTAAGGCAGTTAATTGCTTTGTTATGCTTGTCAATATTCCTTTTAGATGAAAACTGCATTGATGGCTTAATTGCACACGATTTTTCAACCATGCCTTATGTCAAGGTGATGCCCTCCAGATAGCTTAACCTACAATTCAACTTGTGGGAATTGTAGTACAACCCATCTGAAAAGTACCAGTATGACAAAGGATAAACTAAATTATGTAACTCAAGTATGTTCTGAATGTGATGAAATGTGCACCTAGAAAGACAGTGGAGAGGAGCTTGGGCAGCATAGAGCTTTTCCAAGGAGTACAATCCATCATAGTGAAGCACAAATTAAGAGACTGCAGTTTTGACCAGGAAGATGGAGGGGGTGGAGGAGGATATATCTAGTAGGTTATAGCTTTAGGCTGGAAAGACTCTGTCCATTATGAATGAGCAAATAAATGATTTCTGGGTTAAGAAATAGAGAAACAAGAAAAAAATTGAAAAGAAAAAAATATTTTTTTATTATTATTATTCCTACTGTGTAGTTGTCATCTAAAACTTTTCCCTGTCCCTTTGTCTCATTTTTAATTCCCAAATCCTGTAATTATGAGTTTTGATTCTTTCAGCAAAAAGGCACTAATCTTTTTAAAATGTATTGTTTATTTTCTCTGACCAAAATAGTCCACTTTGCCATTTCTGCAAGTTAACTTTCTATAATGTTAACTTTATAATCCAGTCTTCCACCATAGGTATTTCATTGCTTTTTCTAACTTTTTGCTTACAATAATTTTGCCACAGATACCATATACAGTATAATATTAATTTTCCTGATTTCCCATATTTCTTTTTTAATTTCTTGTCCATAAAACCCAGTAAAACCCAGTAAAATAATTCTGGTTCCATTATATTAGTCTGTAATATCTTTAACATTATTGGCTTCCAGTTTGCGATCACGGCATTGGTGGACATGTGGGGCGATCGCTTTCTCCACTGTCCGGTTTTCTCCCGCCGGGGGACCCTGAAGAAGGTTGGAAGTCGCCCTGTAGGGGTGATGAGCGAGAAGAGGACCCCCGAGTGATTGCGGAAGGGCAGCAGCCCTCCCGTTTGATCCGGGGCAGCTCTTCAAACTGATGGGAAAAAGATTGGCCATCAACATAGCCCGTCACTAAACTGCTGATAGCCGACGCCAAATTTACCAACAAGCACTTTGAAAGCAACATGGAGAAATTGGGTGAGATCTTACCTTCTCTGTACCCCCAAGTACTTTCCTGTAAAAAGTTTCTTGAAATTTCTTCCCCCTGTGAGGAAAGAGGGAAGGGAACTTTTTCCTCCCGCCCTCTAAAATGGCGGCATCTGACTACCCAGGAGAAATAAAGCATTGAAAAGAACAAATTAATATAATTGGATTTACATCTTTTTGGAATTTGGGGACCCAAAAAGTTCCTACTCTTACTGGGACCTGCTATTTTATTCTATTTGCAAAAAAGAATTTAAATTGGATAAGAACCTAGCCCGGGATTTGAAAAAGACTTTAAATGCTATCGGGGACATCTTGTGGTGAAGCTTTGTACAGCAATTTATTACTTCTGACAAAGAGACTTGCTCACAGACCAGATCTGACCTTGGTATTATCTATGAGAGATTTAATGCTGAGAGAGCAACTGGGCAGTGAAATTAGTCTCTAGGAACTGTGGAGGTGAACATTTACTGACTTTTGTTTAATAAATACCTTCTCTAGAAAGACCATCTACAACTACACCAGAAATGGAGGAGGGTCAGCAAAAAATCTTGGCTATGCTAAAATCTATACTTGAAACTATTCTTACAGCCAGTGAGATAATAATGATAATGATAATGATGATGATGATGATGATGTTGGAAGGGACCTTGGAGGTCATCAAGTCCAACCCCCTGCTGAGGTAGGAACCCTACACCATTTCGGACAAATGGCTGTCCAATCTCTTCTTAAAAACTTCCAGTGTTGGAGCATTCACCGCTTCTGGAGGCAGGTTGTTCCATTGGTTAATTGTTCTAACTGTCAGGAAGTTTCTCCTTAGTTCTAAGTTGCTTCTCTCCTTGATCAGTTTCCATCCATTGCTTTTTGTCCTGCCTTCAGGCACCTTGGAGAATAGCTTGACTCCCTCTTCTTTGTGGCAGCCCCTGAGATATTGGAACACTGCTATCATGTCCCCCCTTGTCCTTCTCTTCGTTAAACTAGACATACCCAATTCCAGCAACCGTTCCTTATATGTTTTATCCTCCAGTCCCCTAATCATCTTTGTTGCCCTTCTCTGTACTCTTTCTAGAGTCTCAGCATCTTTTTTACATCGTGGTGACCAAAACTGGATGCAGTATTCCAAAACCTTGATTGCAACTAAAGAACTAGCAATCCAAAAAACAACAGAAGTGGAAGAAGCGAATACCAAGACAGAAGGCTTTAAAGATGAACAAGTACAGCTGATCGAAAATCCAGACAATGAAACAACTTCAAAAATGCAAATGACTTTCTACACAAACCAGAAGAAATCTGAGAAAGAAGAAGACCAGATTGAATTGAAGACAACTATACCAGAGCAAATATGGGGATCTGGGCCACCAGAGTGACAACTTAATGATTATAAAAGGGCCAGTTCTTCCAGAAAATTGGCAACTAGATGGTCTCCTTTAATTCAAGTAACATACACAAGAATGAAGGGAGATCAATTCGATGATTTAAAAGCATTGGTATGGAAGCCTGATTGGCAAAAGAAGAAAGCTAGAATTAGGTTGAAAAACTGGGGTCTTTTGATTTACTAGAGAGGATCCTAAACTGTCACAGTGGGCTAAAGGGAGATTTTGAGACAAGGGGAAATTTGATTATTAGATTTAAAATAGTTGGAAAATAGTAAAAAATAAGGGATTAATCTGTTTAATACTGAGGACTTAGACTTACAAGGGAAATGAAAACTAACTATTAGGAAATAGGTTTGAACTATTGATTAGCCCAGATAATATAGATGATGGACTTGAGCTAACAAAGGATACTGTATTATTAAGGTGGTGATGTAGTAGAGTGAGAAATAGAAAAAGTTTACAAAATAGAATAAGAATATATTTAAGTAAGTAATATGTGCATTTTAGACATTATAATTGTTATGAAGTGAGACAAAGGAAATTTGGGTTACCCAAAAGTCAAATACTATGGATATTAAAGGTTAAACTGGAGTATTATAATTAAAAACTAAAAATTAGGTAAAACTTAATAACAAGGATATGGATTGTTTATGAAGATCTATTAAGATATGTATAAGCAAAAATGTATTGATAAATGTGATAATGAAGTTTTCACTGAGTTTGATACAATTAAAAATTTACTAGCTTAAATACAATATAGCAAATGTTAAGGAAAACAGAGAAGAAACATTTGATGATGTAACCTGAGATATGTACTAAAGATTTTGTTATTGAACTATTGATTAATCCAATAACCATGTTGTCTTCCAAATACTTAAATGTAAAACTGGAAAACCAATAAAATATTATATAAAAAAGCATTATTCCCTGAATTTGTGCCAGATTTTGTTTTGCTTTTTCACAAGTGCATGATAAGAAGTCCCCACTTCCTTTTCACACTTCCAACACTGATTTGTTATTCCTG